AGTCATACTTCATTATCATCTGCTCGTTTAATTGTTCTTGGTCTGCCTTTTCTGCTAAATGGTAAGTTCATGAGCTATACTATTTCCTTTACTGTCATTTTCATCTACAGCGTTGAACAAAGTACACAGCCCATGGTAGGCATAAAAAAATACATTAAATAAACCTAAGTAAAGTTTCTTAATATGCTCCTGATATGTATTTGAATAGATAACAGATAGCAACAATTATTTTTTTTAAGAAGGAAGTTTAAAGTATATAAATGTTATGAATTCTATTATAAATCTTACGCTGTAAAACAGGCATACAACTCAGCTCTTTAGCTTCGGTTACGTATTCTTGAGAAACTTCACAGAACATGCACAAGAAAATTAAGGTGCCTTGCCTAAGCATGGTTTGTAATAGTGAAAAACTAGAAATAACTTCAGTATCCATTAGTAAGGGCATAGGTGCCTAAACTGTGTATTCTACAGCAGAAAGCTGCACAGCAGTGAACAGGAATGAATTCTAGCTGCATGTTTCAACATGGTTAAATCTCAAACATAATATTGTGTGGAAATAATATCATGTGAGTTGTAGAACAGTTACATTATATTACCACTCTGGTAAATTAATAAAAAACAAAACTATACTATTCAAATGTACGAAAAGACTAAAAGTATAGGCAAAGGAAGCATACAAACCAGCTTCAGAAGAAGAGCAGATCTAAAGAGGGAAGGGATAGGATTAGACTCTGATGCACATAGGACTTTAACAGACATGGTAACAATGTAGCATTAATAAATCTTGATGGGGAATTACATGGGTATTTGCTATTCTCTCTAGTTGTAGTATATCTTATGTAGTTCATATTTCATAATTTTAAATGATTAAAAATGCAGTTTAGAAATACCTGTGCTACCAAAGTCTTTTTTTTTTTCTGATGTTATTTTGTTTCTAGTAATAAACATACAGGTAATTGGCTCCCATCCTTAGATTTTTCAGTATTTTATACATTTAAAAATACAGAACAGGCAAATGCACCTTTAGGCCCCAACACTGCTAATAAATACACAGAGCTCACAAATGAAGAAATAATAACCGCATTTGAGTCTGTTCAGATCACATTCCAATGCTGTGTATGACTGTGGGAACCAGCTTTGAAAGCACCTCCCAAGGAGGATGGCCAGGAAGGCAGGAGAGGGGCGTGCAGTCTGCCCAGGATAGAAATGGGCAAAGGGGGATGTGATGGCTGGGGCTGCCCTGAAACACCGGAAGAGCAAGCAGGCAGACCAGGGAGGAAACGTGGGCCATGTTGTAGAGTGTAGACATAGGGCCTCTGGAGTAAATGCTCCCAGGGGTAAGCTTTGCTCCCTGAATCAGCAGCTCTAGCAGAGCACTTCAGCTTCCTTTCCTCAAGGACTTTAAGCAGACTGAAGGGAGTATCTAAATGGGAATCTACAAAGCTACTGTAAACCCACCATTTTTTTTTAAATTAATATTTTAGTGGAGTGTCAAAACCTATAGCAGTGTAGCGAAGTGGTTAAGACTCAAGCCAGATGGTTGGTTAGAACTGGGGCTCTGCCGTTTGTTGACTAAAGACTGTTTCCTCCCTGCCTGGGTTCTCTCTAAGTGCTAAGTGTGAAGGTTAGCCTCAGAACAAAGAAAGTAGTGGCTTTAATTGAGGCCAGACAGGCCCCCAGCCACCATCATTCCCTGGCCCAGGCATTTGGGAAACTGGGTCCTGAGCAGTAATACTTGAAAATGACTGACTGGATTGCTTTTTAAATCCTGCAGTTCTTTGAAGAATTACTATCAGTAATATTTTTTATGTGTTTCCTGGAAACTTTAATACATCTTACTGACTTAAAATGACATGGGAAAGACTGATTTTTTTTTTATACTTCTCCCAAATTGTTTTCAGGAATTCTAAAATTAGGTGTTTAATAGAAAAAATAAAAAAGATTTTGGGGAATAGGAGAGAACTTTGAAGGAAAATAGAACTTAAAGTCACAGAACTTAAAATTTAGAAGTGTTATTGATAATCATTTTAAACTCTTATTTATTTTTAATTATTGATAATTTTTATGAAACTGCAGGATGGAAGCATATTCAGTAAATTAATTCTTACATGTGTTATAAAAATTAAAAAGTTTCAAGGGTGGCTGTCTGCTCTTTCTCCACTTAGATGTATATGGTAGTTTCTTTGTTATTCTTTAGATTCATTTTTGAGCTATCCTATAGTGGAGTCTTTGCTTTTTCTTTTTATGTGATTTTTGTGCAGTGCTCCTTGAAATTCAGCACTTGTGGTATCTTGTGAGCATTTGATTTACAGTTAAAGAATATATAATGCTTTTTTTTTTTCTTAAAGCTTTCTAATTGCATGTTTTTTGATGGAGTCAAAAGCACAGTGTACGTGCTCTATCTTCCTTTCTTGTTCACTGATTGCTTAAGGTCGGAGGCGTCAGACTTGGAATTAATGGTCAGTAACTTGGCTGTGCTCTGTGTTATTCAGTAAACTGTAGCCTCCATAGATATCGGTTCCTCCCTAGATTCCTGGCTTCTTATCTCTGTGTGTCTGTCTTTCTGCATTGGGTGCATGCACCTGTCTTTGAAACACTATTCGAGACATGTTACCATTAATGATTAACATCTACTGCCAGGAATCTGGATTTGCCATTACTCAAATGGCTTGTGCCAAGCAATTAAACAAATATTACTGCTTAGTAGTCTCAGCCACCAAAAGAATATTTTTGTGTGCTTCATAGTTTCAGAGTGTTCAAAGGGGTTCTAATACCCCAGACATTTTTTTCGTTTCCTTTTGAATGGTTTAAAATTCATTGAGAAGGGAAGTACCTTGGCAGGTTTCTCTTTGATCTTATTTTTTTCTCTTATAAAATGTTGGGCAGTTGGTTGTTTTTTTTGTTTTTAATTCACAAAGTTGTTGTAAAGGATTCACATTTTAGCTGGGGATCTAGAATTAAAAATGGTTTCTTACTCAATTACTGTAGTAGTAACACACAAAAGTAATTGGATTTACTGCCCTTATCTGTTCCTTGTGCAGTTTCATCTCACAACAGCTAATTGGATTGATATCAACACCACTGAGAAGTAATATCTTAACAAAAGGGCAGACAGTAATGAGTTAGAAATTAAAAGTTGACTGAAAAGTGTCTGCTGTCTCCAAATGCACGATAGCAAAGTCTTCAGCTTGGACAGGCTAGTTGGAGAACGCCACCAGTTAAATAATGGATTCCAGAATTTTTTAACATGTAACATTTTCTTCTTTTTTTTTTCTTTTCAAGTAATAGGTAGTAATTTATATCTGGCACAATGTAATGGGAATTAATAATCTGTTCTATAAATGAGAATCAGCTGGTAAATAGTAGCAGAAGTGATTTGAATATTAATTGGCCTTAAGTAAATCATTTCGTCTACAGTTTTGTTTATGAAGTTTATTCAGGAAAAATAAAGACCATTTCAAAGGTGATTTCAGGCCACTTTGGTAGATGTACTATAAATTCAGTATTAGTTTGATATGAATAAATATTTTTGTTTGTTTTTAGAACTCTGGAGTCTCTTCTTGGTATTATCAGGTTTATTTGTGGAAGAATGGTATCTGTGTTTGTTTCCTCTATGATAATGGTACCCACAAAAAGCCTCTAATTATTCTTTGAGCCCATCTGTAAAGAGTCAAGGGATTAGTTGATTTAGCTGACATTTTAGGCCCATGGTTCAGCTCTAGTTTCCTCCTTGCTCTACTGTTTCATGTTGTTTCCTTAGTCCTGGGTATCCTTCAGGTACGCTTAGGTAAAGTGTAAAAGCTCCACCTGAGGAGCAGTCTATACTAATGAAGATTTGGTTATTAGGATATTCTAAGATTACATTTGTCTGGAGCAGTGTAAATAAAAGTTTGCAAGTGCCTTGATTTCTATATGAGTGCTTGATTTAGTAGCAGGGTAATCTAGAAGAGAAAGCAGTTCAGCACTAAAAGTAATACTTAAGTCTCTGATAAAGAGCAGAACACATTCAGAAATGAAATAAGAATGGGATTGTGACTTAAAAGCTTTATAGAGGTCTCAGTTTTACTTTTGAATACTTCTTTGCTAATAGGAATAAAAGTATTCTTCATTTCATAGGTTTTCTATTTCTCTGAACTGCAGTCTTTTGTAACTAGAATAATTATCCTATAATTAGTCAAGGCTTAACTTTTGGCTCTACTTCTTAAAATGGACCATTCACATCTGCATAGGTTTTCTGTTTCTCAGAAGTTCAGTAATTGTAAGACAAAAACCAAGAGGAAGTTGGATTCTAATCAGTAAGTTTCATGACAGAGGGACTTTTATTTAGTAAGTCTCGTGACAGGACTTTTATTAGCTAATTCATGAGATCTGTGTACAAAGTGATATTTTCCATCCATCCATGGGATCCTGAAAAGTTATATATACTGAATATATTTTCTGTTGGCTTATAATTTTAGACATATCTCATTTTCAGTTCTGATGGGACTTCAGCTGGCTTCTAACACATTAGCTTTGTTTTTTCCCTTAATCTTTCCACCAAAATGGTTTAATCTCAAAGCAAATTCTTAAGTTTCCTAAGGAAGTCCCCAAGTAAAGAAATCTGAACTGCAGTCTTTTGTAACTAGAATAATTATCTTATAACTTAGTCAAGGCTTAACTTTTGGCTCTTCTTTTTAAAATGGGCCATTCACATCTGCACTTTGTCACCGTGTGCTACGGTACTTTTATGTGTCAGGTGGTCATAAAGTCTAGAGATGAAGAGAGAGAAATGTTAAAATCAGGTTTAAAAAATATGCAGTGCCTCTTTAGGATCATAAAACTAACAGCATGAGATGTTGCACAGGCTTCGGGTTCAGTCTGAGGTGATGACGTGCAGGAAAGGTCTCAGGCCTGAGTGTCTGGGCGCCAGCTGTCCCCTGAGAACTTGAATGACCAGGTGGTTGGCCTGAAGAAGAGGACATTTCTGCTTCTTGGTGATGTCAGTGTGACTCTCTGTCCAGGAGCTGCGGTCCCGTGAAGAGGAGCTAACCCGAGCAGCCCTCCAGCAGAAGTCCCAGGAGGAACTGCTCAAGCGACGTGAGCAGCAGCTTGCAGAACGTGAGATTGACGTGCTTGAGCGGGAGCTTAACATTTTGATATTCCAGTTAAATCAGGAGAAACCTAATGTAAAGAAGAGGAAGGGGAAGTTTAAGCGAAGTCGGTTGAAGGTCAAAGATGGACATCGAATCAGTTTACCTTCAGGTATGAGTTTGTTCTCATGTTTCATTAAGAGTTTTGCATGTCATCCCATTAATCAGGTTGTTTCATCAGAACTGAGAGATTGGAGAATGAGATTTTAAGACATAAAATGAATAGAACCTTTAGTTGCTTGCTTCAATTCATAATCATAATGACCCAATGAGCATAAAACTGTAGAAGTGCATTGCAGTACAATGTGTGTGGAATTTATAACTTTTAGCATACTTTCATATTAATGGATTAGTTGATTAACGTCTTTTGAAATCAAGGCAGAATTCCTTTTCAGCCAGTTTCACTCAACTAGAATTACTTGGCATTATGAAAATCCAGAGCAGCAAAACTTGCTATTCCATCATTAATTTTATTGCCTCCACAAGGATCTATAGTGTCATCTGGTAACTGAGTTCATTTGCAACACTGAGAGTGCTCTTAGCACCTCCAGCAAAACATAGCTAATACCTCACCTCAGTCTCAGGCCTGACTTCATCTGAGAGTTTAAATCCACGAGGTATTAAAATGAAGCAGTAATTCTAGGGAAGCTTTTAAAAATATTTTTAAAACATTGTGGCATTTTAAAACATAGCCTGTTAGAAGAAACAAAACAATAGAAAATGTCAAACATGTATCAATTCATGAAATTCAATTCTTTAATATTATGTTATCATACTTGATTTAAGGGAAAACCCCTGTGTTTTGTGTGTTTTGTGATTCTTTTTAATACCAGGGAAGTGTGGTAACAGAACAAGAACTAGCTGTACTTTTATAGAATTAATATCTATATATCTGTTACAGATACATGTGCATTAAATTGCTATTTATCTGTATCTACCTATCTTCCTACCTCTCTATATATTATAAATTACAGTGCTTTTCATGGATTTTGTGTTTTCCTAAGATGGTTGTTAAAAGCGTGGGAATTTGAATTAAATAACAGTAACAACAGTTTTGTTTTATATAAAGTATGTATAAATGTCTTATAGAAATACTTATTACACAATTCTGGAAGGCTTGCAGCATACATTTTTAGGTTATTGTGGAAATCTTCAGCTGATCCAAAAATTGCTGGTATGTGGTGGTCATGAATATACAATATACATTATTGATTAAGTGGTTTGATGATGTGAGAACAGGCTATGGGTCCTTATTCATTTTACCTTTGACCTCTCTGGGGGGGTAAAAAAAGGTTCTTTTGCAGGTTGTCTCATGTTTGCTTTTAGCCCAAGTGTGTCTTGGAAGATCACTGACTAGACTGTTTTATGTGTCAGACATAATTTAAAATAGACTTTTTTATGATGAGGCTTCTGTGTTCAAATATAGATGATAGAAAAAATTCAGAGAGGGGCTCGATGTGTTTACTTCTCTAGTTCTTAGCTATTTCAGTGTTCTTATATCAGGTGTTATGACTACATTATTGTAATGTAATTAATATTCATTGATTCCCTTGAGAAACTCTGGGGAGGGATTGGTAGCTAATGAGAAACTGATGGGAAATAAAATAAACTTAAGGGAGAAGTTAAATCATTTCAGTGATTCATTAATCTTCAATGGTAATGTGATTAAATTAGGTACCTCAGGATTCCTGAGGTCAAACTTTCACCCTTGTTTTTCTTCTCAAATGTTGCTTGACTAATACCTTGCATTTATTCAAAGCAGACAACATGTTTGGCTGTTTGGGCTAGGTTTATATTATTTCTTGATTGTACTATTTGGCTTTTCTCCTGAGAGTTTTAGTTACACATTTATGTACCTATGGAACTTAGTAAAAGATTCCAGTTAAAATATAACCCCAAAATCTGCTATAATCCTAACCTGTCTTGAAGGGTGACGTTCAGTTTCTGTGATTTAGTGTGGCATTTGCCCCTTCAGCCCACAAGATGATGCTACATTGTTGTGACACTGTTACCACTATGGAAACTCTTTTTCTCATTAGAACCCCCAAGTCCACACCCATGCACCACCTCCTACCACACAGTTTTCTTACACAATATCCTCAAGTAGGACACATGGAAAGATACAAAGAGAAGAATGATAACTATAAAAATAGTTATTTTTCTCCTTCAGGAATTTTCCTTATATAGGAGAGAAAGCAATTATTTGTACCTTAAATTCTAGAGAGTTAGCTGACTCCAATATTATCATCTGCTAGAAATTCTTGGAGTTATCAAATTTTAGTACTACTAAATTGTAGGCTATTAAGGAAGAAACATTGGATGGTAATAGAGTGAATAGTAGTGATACCTTCCTTTCAGTGGGAATAATTATTTTTTTGAATCCCTTTTGCAAGATTTTTCCCTATGTGTAACTAGCTTAAAGAAACATACTTGAGTCTCGTACAAGCTGGCCCTTAATATTTGTGTCTATAAATCTTTCAAAAACCAGTTATTAAATGTGAATAATTATCTAATTAGTGTAATTTCATCCGTCAGAGTCACTGATGATAACTTTAAATCTGATGGCTCTTTGTAGCTATAGTGACTTATTGCTAGAAAACTCAAATGTAGGAATTCCTGTTGGCAATCCTTTGTGGGTAGCTACCAAATAAGGAAATGAAACAGCATATTCTAAGACAACAGTTTGTAAGTATACTTTGTGAATTCTTAGAAATTCTTGGCATTTTTAGAAACAAAAGAATGATCATGGTAGATAGTACTATGTTTATTTTGAACCAAAATTGTGTAATTAGAACCTACAAAGCAAGGCAAAGAGGACTTGAAGCCTTCAAAAGTTGGTATTTCTCTGAAGCTGCAGCATTCTTACTTAACCACTTCCAACGTGGCAAAAAGCCTGCCACCATCACCTCATGTGTGTGAGAGCAAGTGTATAATAATATGTGCATGGGGAGAGAGAGTAGAGTAACCTCATGAGGATTCTTCAAGAATATTGCTACTTTCACTGTGAAAATGATTATTCCCACTGAAACTATATTAGTTTCCTCAATGAGGCATAAATATTGCCAATAAAAATACAAATACAGATTTTACCTGAAAGCTTGTGAACTACATGATAATCTGCTATGAGCATATGTTTTGAATGATTGTTCTATCCAGTACAAAGAAAAACTGAACTTCAGCCAGGATGACTTAATTCAGCTTTAGTTTTCTTAAATATATAACTGGGACAGAATCAACCTTTCCCTGCTTCATGAGGACAGGGATGTTTATAATAAATATTCTCTTCATGTTTAAAACATGGAGTGCCTTATTTTTTTCTGAGTGAAATTAGTCTTTTTTGAGATCAGAAGCACCTCCAATTTTGTTACTATTAAAATTGTTAACATCTTGTTACTGTTAACATGTTGTTAACATAATATTTAATATATTGTTAAAATCATGTATTGTTAAAACCTAGCCTTGTATCTTGGCTATTCGTCCTTGGTCTCGGAAATGTTCCATGCTCAATACTGACCTGCAAGCCCAAGCCTGCCTTCTGCTCTGGGCTGGAGGCTCCTCCTGCTATAAAATCTCATGGAAAATCCACATAACGTTATTACACATCATGAGGCTAGTTGAGCCTTTATAGAGCACCTCAATCTAAAATGAACTCTTTCATATCTATTGGTAAGAATATTTCTTTTACCACACCCCCTTGCCCCTCAACCCCCAATCCTGAGCCAGTTATCATGTCCTGCTGAACTGTCTTTGGCATCTATCCTTTACTTAAACTTGTCTCTCATCAGATCTTTCATAATTTCATACGTGGTAGATAGAAGAAGCCTCCCATCTGGTCTTCATTTCCATTTGCTTTGTCATCCAAACCACCCTGCATCCTGCTATGTATTTCTCTGCAATTAGGACTGTAAGCACTAGTTGGATCCTATTGCAAAACCTTGCACAATTTTTTATTCAACAAACACTACCATGTCCCAAGTACTATGGGTTATGATAAAGTAAACATGATCTCTGCCCTCATTTACTTATAATCTTAAACAGAGAAAATACTCATTCAGCAAAGATTTATTAATACCTTTCATGTATGAGGAACTTTACCAGTTTGGACAGAGATTCTGCTGCACTGGGGAATATCATGGCCCTGCCCATAGACAGCTGACACTGTATGGGGTGGGGGAGGCCTTAAGTAATAATAAAATACTGATTTACTTGCTATAATTATTAACTACTATGAGATAAATATCAGTGAGTAACAGAAAGATGTCACTTGGTCTGAGATCATAAGAAGTATCGTCCTAAAGAAGTAACATTTAAATTGAGACTTGAAGTAGGGATTTACCAGATACGGAGAGGGGAAGGAAGCGAACCGGCAGAGAGCGCATGCAACAGAGGCCTGGCTTCTTCCAGTAATTGAATAAAGACCCATGTGGTTTGCCAGGGGTTAGCAAACTCTGCCCCATGGGCCAGCCTATCATCTGTTTTATATAGCCAATGAGCTAAGAATGGTTTATACACTTTTAAATACTTGAAAAGAAGAAGAATATTTCATGGCACATGAACACTATATGAAATTGAAATTGCAGTGGCCATCAGATTTTACAGGAACACATTCATTTATGGATCCTGTATGACCGATTTCTCATCACACTGGCAGATAACCTAGAGTAGTTGTGACTGAGACCATGTGGCCTACGAAGCCTAGAATATTTACAGTGTGACACTTTACAGGAAAAGTTTGCTGACCCCTGGTTTAGATCACAATGAGTGATGCAAGAACTGGGAAGGGTGAGGCTGGAGCTGCACCAGGAATCCAGACTCAGATTCACAGGGGCTCACAGAGCATGTTACAGTTGTGATCTGTAGTAAGGATTATGCAAAGCCTTTGAAGGATTTAAGCAGGGGAATGACATGGTCTGGCATGTATTTTCAAAACTGTTTCTGACTGCTGTGAGGAATGACATGGTCCGGCATGTATTTTCAAAACTGTTTCTGACTGCTGTGAGGAATGACATGGTCCGGCATGCATTTTCAAAACTGTTTCTGACTGCTGTGTGGCACACCAGAGGGGACAAGTGTTGAGATGCAGGAAGATGGATTGAGGAATTGTAGCAGCCTCAGCATGAAATGGCAGTGGCAGCAAAGATGGAGAAAGCAAAAAGAATCGCTGACATGTACAGAGTGTTTGTGTCCTGAGCCCTGCCCTGTGTATTCTATATTTCTTTGTATCTGATTTTTCATAGCTGTCCTATGAAGTAGGACTACTTCCCCAAAATTCATATGGCCAGTAAGTGATAAACTGGGATTCACATTTGGAGTTTGCTAACTCCAGGAGCTAGAATATAAATGTACTGAGTATAATTCTAGGAAGAATATATAATGCAGAAATGACAAGATATTTTGTGTTTGATTAGATGTGGAGGGTCAAGGAGAAGAAAATATCCAGGAAAATGTTCAGATTTCTAGCATGAATAATTGGATAGATGTCTTGTATATCAAATTCCAATTCCTCCTCATTTCAGATAGCAGGTAGTTCTTTAAAGTTCTTTAAAGTATCATTTTCAAAAAAGGCAAGTTGTAGCTCTTCTGCAAATATGAAATGAACATGTATCAAAGATTTTATTAAATTAATTAATGAGAGAACCAGTTAATGTTGGGTCAAATGAGAATTTGAGAAGCTAAGTGTTAATGGGCAATTTAATGAAGGAATGTTCAGTTTAGATTGGTAAGTTAAAAACAAGCCTGGTTAATTCCCAATATGGCAATGAGTCATAACTTCTGGGATTGTCTTTTATGCCAGACAGAAATTATTTGCAGCATCTCCAGACAAAATCTACAAATTAATCTCTGCCCCTACTGAGTTGTAAAACTAGGCCACTCAATAGAAAAGCAGAGGTTAGCTTAGCACTGCACTGACAACACACAGTCATTTCTTTTACCTGTGCTTAAGTTCAGACAGTTCTTATTGTTCTGACAGTTAACAAAGTTTTCCCAGATGCTGTCCTCTTCCCTCTGGTAATATTGCTGTTTCTTTCATTATTCCCATAGCTCTTGGCCCATCTCTGTTACAACAGCTACCCTATTACAGTTAGGTAATAGTAACTGTCATTTGTAGGGTAACTTGATCACATATGCTGTTAACTCTAGCCGAGTCGGGAGGCAGTGTGTCCTTGGTCCTCTTAGGGTCCCTGGCTGGGTCTGAAAATTAAACTGACAAAGACAGATCAACAGGAAAAGCGTAAAAATTTAATTCAAGTTTTATGTGACACAGAAGACTCCAGGAGGAAATGAAGGCCAAAGGCAAAATATTTTTGCTAGGTTTGATGAAGGGTGGAAGTGTGTGTAGAAATATGTAGGTTAGGAAGATACTTGGGGTAGCATGTCCTGAACCCCATGTAACCTGGGTTTTCTGTTTTAATCACTACAGCGACCATGTGAGGTATTTGTGTGTCCCCATCTAGTTGACAAGGCAGTCTCCGAGAGACTTTTTACTGGCTTGCGACACATAATTTTTTAGCGACAGAACTGGGACTCATTTACACCCAGGGGTCTTCCGTTTCAATTTTGTTGTTAACTTTGTCAGACTAAATGAAGGTCACTCTTCCCAGAAAGTTCTGCAAGTACTCAGGAATATTTCATTGCTTTATGTGTGCATATTTTTGCACTGTTCCTAATGTATCATAGACTCTGAGTCATTATTTATTGACTTGAACCCCGAATTGGAGATAAGTAAGGAATTGAGAAACACTCTGAGATATACTTCATTCTTACTGTCTGGCAACTTTTGCTGTCACCTCTGTATGCTAAAGAAGTGGCTGTGAATATAACTTAAAACCATGAAATCTGAATTCTCATTTTTTTCCTTATTCAACAGATTTTCAGCATAAAATAACTGTGCAGGCTTCTCCCAACTTGGACAAACGGAGGAGTTTGAACAGCAGCAGTGCCAGTCCACCCAGTAGCCCCACTGTGATTCCAAGACTCCGAGCTATACAGTGTAAGCCTTCAACATTGTACTAGTTTGAGGTGTTCGGTATAATGATCTGCTATTTGTATAGACTGCAAGATGTTGACCACAGTAAGTCTTTAACATCTGTCACCATACAGTCACAACTTTTTTTTTCTTTTGATGAGAATTTTTAAGGTCAACTCTCTAAACAACTTTCAAATATGAAATACAGTATTACTAACTGTAGTGACTGTAATGTCCCCAGGACTTATTTATTTCATAACCACAAGTTTGTACCTTTTGACCCATTTCACCCACTGCACCAACCCCTGCCTCTGGCATCTACCAATCTGTTCTGTTTCCATGAGTTCGATTTTTTTTCCTTTTTTTTAGATTACACATATAAGTGAGATCATACAGTATCTGTTTTTCTCTGACTTATTTTACTTCACATAAAACACTCAAGGCCTATTCATATTGTCACAAATGGCAGGATTTCTTTTTTGTGGCTGAATAATATTCCATTATTTATATATATGTACCACCTTTTCTTTATCCATTCATCTACTGATGGATACTTAGGTTGCTTCCATGTCTTGGCTTTGGTAATATTGCTTCATTGAATATGGGGGTGCATGGAAGCAGGGGTGGGCTGCACCAGGTACTGGGCACCCCAACAGTGGGCAGCCATGGGAATGTTCAGCCTTCTTCTCTTCCTGGGCAGTTCCAGTCCTTGCAAGAAGGAGGAACACTGACCAGCTTGGGTGGGCCTTTCTGAGTTTTTTATTAGTGTTTTTGTTAATGTTTTCATTTCCTTCAGCTAAATATCTGAAATGGAATAGCTAAATCATACATGGTAGTTCTATTTTTTTTTCCGGTTTTATTGAGAAATAATTTACAGACATCAGTGTACAAGTTCAAGGAGTACAGCTTGATGGTTTGATTTACATATATTGTGAAATGGTTGCCACAGTAGGTTCAGTAACAACCATCTTCTCATATAGATATAGTAAAAAGAAAGAAAAAAGAGAAAAGGAAAAAAACCTTTCTCCTCATGATGGGAACTCTTAGGGTTAACTCTCTTAACAACTTCCCTGTATACAGCAGTGTTAGCTATAGTCACCTTGTACATTACATCCCTAGCATTATAACTGGAAGTTTGTACCTTTTGACCCCCTTCTTCCAATTCCCCATCCTCCACCCTCTGCCACTGATAATCACAAGAGTCTGATCTCTTTTTTTTATGAGTTTGTTTGTTTTGTTTTAGATTCCACGTATAAGTGAGATGGTACAGTATTTGTCTATCTCTGACTTATTTCACTTAACATAATGTCTTCAGGGGTCTATCCATGTTGTTTGCAAATGCTAGGATTTCCTTTTTTTTATGGCTGAATAAAATTTTATTGTGTTTGTGCATGTGTGTGTATACAACTTCTTTATCCATTCATCCATTGGTGGACATTTAGGTTGCTTCTGTGTCTTGGCTATCAGAAATAATGCTGCTTTGAACATGGAGGTACAGATATCTTTTCAAGCTAGTGTTTTCATTTCCTTTGGATATATTCCCAGAAGTGGAATTGCTGGGGTATATGGTAATTCTATTTTTAATTTTTTGAGTATCCTCCATACTGTTTTCCGTAGTGACTGTACCAACTTGTATTCCTACCAACAGTGCACAAGGGTTCCCTTTTCTCCACATTCTCTCCTGCATTTGTTATCTGTTGTCTTTTTTATACTAGCCATTATTCTAACAGGTGTGCAGTGATTTTGTGGGTTTAATTGGCATTTTCCTAATGATTAGTGATGCTGAGTATCTTGTCATATGCTTGTTGGCTATTCATGTATGTTTGGAAAAAACGTCTTTTCAGTTTCTTTGCCCATTTTTAGCTGGGTGCTTTTTGTTTGTTTGTTTTTTTTTGCTATTGAGATGTATGAGTTCTTTATATTTTGGAAATTAACCCCTTACCAGATATATGATTTGCAAATTTTTCCCATTCTGTAGTTTGTCTTTTCACTTTGTTGATAGTTTCTTTGGCTGTACAGAAGCTTTTTCATTTGACATAGTGTCACTTTATTTTTTATTTTGTTGCTTGTGTTTTAGGTTTTGTATCAAAAACATCATTACCAAGACCCTATGTCAAGGAACTTTAATCCCATGTTTCTTTCTAGGAGTTTCATGGTTTCAGGCCTTACATTTATGTCTTTAATTCATTTTGAGATAATTTTTGTGAGTAGTGTAAGGTAGGTGTCCAGTTTCATTCTTTTACTTGGGTATATCCAGTTATCCTAGCACCATTTATTGAAGAGAATGTCTTTTCTCCATTTAATATTCTTGGCTTCCTTGTCAAATATTACTGTTTACACTTGGGTTTATTTCTGGGCTCTCAGTTCTCTTCCATTGGCCTACTTGTCTGATTTTATGCCATAACCATAGTGTTAAGTGACTATAGCTTTATGGAGTAGTTTGTATTCAGGAAGTATGATGCCTCCTGCTTTGTTCTTCTTTCTCAGGACTTCTTTGGCTCTTTGGAGTCTTTTGTGGGTCTATATAAATTTTAGGAATGTTTTTTCTACTTTGTAGAAAATGCCTTTAGCATCTTGGTAGGGTTTGCATTGAATCTATAGATGGCTTTGAGTAGTATTAGCATTTAAATGATGAAATTCTTCCAATCCTCGAACATGGGATACCTTTCCATCTATTTGTGTCTTTGATTTCTTTCATCAGTCTTGTAGTTTTCAAGATAGAGGTATTTTTTATCTCTTAGTTAAATTTATTCCCAATTATTTTATTGTTCTAATGTTATTATAAGTGGGATCTATTTCTTTTTCAGAAGATTCATTAGTATATAGAAATGCTACTGATTTTTTTCTATGTTAATTTTGTGCCCTGCAATTTTACTGAATTCATTTATTAGGTCTATCAGGGTTTTTTGAGTGTTCAGGATTTTCTACATATAAAATTGGGTTATCTGCAAATAGGATTTTCTTTCTTTCTTTCCAATTCTGATACCTTTTATTTCTTTTTCTTGACTAATAGCTTTAGGTAGAACTTCTAGTATTATGTTCAATAAGAGTGGAGAGAGTGGACAACCTTGTCTTTGTTCCTGATCTTAGAGGAAAAACTTTGAACCTTTTACCATTAAGTATGATATTATCTGTGGGCCTGTCATTTATTTCCTTGAGATTTGTTCCTTCTGTGCCTAATTTATTATGAGTTATTTGATAAATATGTTGAATTTTATCAAATGCTTTTCCTACATCTGTTGAGATGATCATATGATTCCTTTCCTTTATTCCTTATTTTTTCTTTATTCTTTCATTTTCTTAATGGGGTGCATGTATCACATTGATTGTTTTATGTAGGTTGAGCCATCCTTGCATCCCACAGATAATCCCATTTGATCCTGGTGAATGATCCTTTAAATGTACTACTGAATTTAGTTTGCTAATATTTTATTGAGAATTTTTACATCTATATTTATCTGGGATATTGACCTGTATTTTATGGTTAGTAGTGTCCTTTTCTAGTTGTGATTTCAGAATATTGCTGGCCTTATAAAATGAGTTTGGAAGGTTTGGAAGTATTTTTCTCTCTCTGATTTTTGGGGGAGAGAGTTTGAGAAGGATTAGTATTAATTCATCTTTAAATGTTTGGTAGAATTCCCAAGTGAAGTCAGATATCTGGTCTTGGAATTTTATTTGGGGGATTTTCAATTACTGGTTCAATCTCCTTAGTAGTAATTGGTTTACCCAGGTTTTCTATTTCTTCCTGATTCAGTTGTGGTAGGTTCTGTGTTCTAAGAATTCTTCCATTTCTTCCAGATTGTCCAGTCTGTTGGTGTATAGTTATTCATAGTATCCTCTTATATTCCTTTGAATCTCTTTGGTACCAGTTGTAGTGTCTCCTTTTTCATTTACAGTTTTGTTGATTTAGGTCCTTTCCTTTTTTCCTTGGTTAATCTAGCTGAGAGTTTGTCAGTTTATCTTTTTGAAGAACCAACTCTTAGTTTGGTTAATCTTTTCTATTGTTTTTCTGTTGTTTATTTATTTATGCTTTAATCCTTATTATTATACCATTTTAGGACCCGAACCAGGTAGATCAGCACCCCACTGAGTTCCCTGGTCAGAGTACAACCCAACTTGGTTCTGCAGATGAACAGAGCCACTGGTTGGGATTACTACTTGTGTAACACCCAGATGAATTGGGAGTGCCAGGGTCTGTGTGCTGGTCATTGCAAGGCTCATGCAAGGCCCTCCCTGCTCCTCACTCACAGCCAGGTTCCATGGTTGGACCCTGCAGATTCCCCTGCAATCCTGTGCAGTGAGATCATAGTAGCGGCTCCCACAGAGTGAACTGTAGTACTGGGGTCCCCCCAGGTTCTTTTTTCCCAGTGGAGGCATGGGAGGCTCAGGAGGACCTCTCCTAAGGGGCAGTGCAGTCGGCATGTAGTGGCTTCTTCCACCTTCTGATGAAGCCTTGGTCTCTGAGGTACAGAGGATGCTGCAGCCTCACCTCTGTGTTCTGGATTCTCTCAGTGCTGTCTTGTCCTTGAATAGTTGTTAATTGTTCTTCTTTTGAAGGGCTGTAAAGTCAGGAGTGACCTGTGTCAGCATCTCGGTGACAATTTGTAGTTCTAATTTTAATTTTTTCAGGAACCTCCATACTGCTTTCCACAGTGGCTGCACCAGTTTACATTCCCACCAGCAGTGTATGAGTGTTCCCTTTTCTCCATATCCTCACCAACACTTGTTATTCCTTGTCTTTTTAATAATAATGATTCTAATAGATATGAAGTGATTGTGGTTTTGATTTGCATTTTCCTGATGATTAGTGATGTTGAATATCTTTTCATGTACCTGTTGGCCAGCTGTGTGTTTTCTTTGAAAAAATGTCTATTTCTGTTCATTGTTAATTGGGTTGCTTGTTTTTTTTTTGCTATTGAGTTGTTCCTTATATTTTTTGGATGTTAACCCCTTATCAGATCTATGATATATAAATACTTTCTCCACTCAGTAGGTTGCCTTTTCATTTTACTGATGGTTTCCTT